GGTTCTCCCAGATTAGAGTCCGCCGCTCTTAACCACTACACCAAACTGGCTCTCTTTGCCACTGTCTGGGCAATTTCAAGGCTGTGTGAAGTCTTTGATTTTTACATTTCTGTTCTCTGTTTGGACAGGATCTAAGGCTGTTCCCCGTGTCTTGTGCCCAATAGTTTGCCTAGGGCAGGGGTGGCCAAACTTGCTTAACGTAACAGCCACACAAAATAAACGTCAGATGTTTGAGAGCTGCAACACACGAACAAATATTACACACGTTTTAATTGAAAAACACGCAGATTTGCTTTTTATTAACATTATACTGTGCGAAAGAGCCGTGTGCGGCTCCCGAGCTGGTTTGGCCAACCCTGGGCTAGGGAGATAAAGGGGATCTGTTCTTATGATTCTTCGACTGGATAATCTGGTTCAGGGGTGTCAAAATAATTTGTTATGAGGGCCGGATCTGACATAAGCGAGACCTCGTTGGGCCGGGCCACATTTGTCATAAAATGTAATGCCAGGTAGCGGAGATATAAACTTTATAAAAGACACAGACACAAAGGGTTTTTTTTAACTTAAAATAAAAACATGCTTAAAAACATTAGCTCTGTAAGCTCCAAACCTACTTTTGATTTACTGACATTCACCACAGAATTCTCATGCTCAGAGTTCTGCATCTAGGACCCAGGTTAAAACATGAAATTGCTAATGCCAACCATACAATCCAATCTATCTCACTCTTTTACACTCATAAAGCACGCTTTGTATAAGCGATACCTCTATAATTTATCCACCTTACTGACTAGCTATGAATTCTTGCATCAACCCTTAGACACCACACAAATTAGTTAAAAGCGTATTAAAAGGTAAAGGTTCCCTTGCTTGAAAGCCAGTCGAGTCCGACTCTAGGGTTGCGGTGCTCATCTCCGTTTCAAAGCCGAAGAGCCAGCGCTGTCCGAAGACGTTTCCATGGTCATGTGGCCGGCATGACTAAACACCAAGGCGCACGGAACGCTGTTACCTTCCCACTGAAGTGGTACCTATTTATCTACTTGCAATTTCTTGCTTTCGAACTGCTAGGTTGGCAGGAGCTGGAACTAGAGACGGGAGCTCACTCAGTCATGTGGCACACCTGGGTCTTGAACTGCTGAACTACTGACCTTCCACAGCCTGCAGTTCAGCGTCTTAACCACTTGAGCCACCGCAGCTCCAAAACCGTATTACATACACTTAATCACGCTGCGTCTACTTTAGAGTTTGGTAAAAAGTATTTGTTGATCTTATATTTTATAACAAATCTATAAGGGTAAAATGTGTTTAGTGATTTTGATATTATGATTCATTCTTGATGTATATCATTATATCTACCTATGTTCCTTTCT